GGGCGTGTATCCTCAAAACTCAGTTATATAGGGTGGAGTACCCAAGGATTAGGCGTGTATCCTCAAAACTAATAGATTATTGTTTAGCAATTCAGTAGCGGACGGTGTCCTTATGATTATTTGAGTTGGACAGAAGGAGTCCTATACACTCATAGGTCTATGGGTGAGTTGGGGTTTTAAGTCAAGGACATTGACTACTGTTTATTTTTTCAAATAAACAATGACCTACGGGTCGAGTATTTCCAAGTGTATATAAGTACCGATACATATTTTGTAACTTGGGGTAAAGAAGTATAAGTCTATGTATCACCCTATGTTTGGGTCTTATACTTGAAACGTTAGTTAGTCTACATTTAGCTTGCTACTCGCTCGGTACTTGTACTGACCCCTTCGGGGGGGCCACCATTTAAGGTTGAAGCTAGAGCCTATTGTCTACACCTTTGCACGGGTGGAAAGAATCTAGAGGAAGACGTAGATACTTTTTGTAATACTACCTCCGTCCCTTCAAACTTTGCCAAAGTTGACTGGCACGAAGAGTAATAAAGTAAAAACTGTGTGGTTGAGGTTTATGCAGAGGAGAGAGAAATAACAGAAACCACAAAACAACTGATTAAAAGGGAAAACGACAAAGTTTTTTGGGACGTCCCAAAAAGGAAAGATGGCAAAGTTTTAAGGGACGGAGGCAGTATTACTTTGTTTTAAATCGTGCTTCCTTTATTATTTTAAATCGTAAACTATTCCCATGGATACTTTTTGTAATATTACTTTGTTTTAGGCCTACGAGTGAGTCTACGTTTTGCCATATGTGGCTTATGATTGACTGTTGAATATTTTCCTCTATTCCCCACGAGGGCAAACTTGTTCTCCATCCAAGAACATTAACCAGTGCGGTAAAGTTGCCGGTGCGGTGGGAAGGTGGACGAACGTCCCCAAGAGGACAAACTTGTTCTCCATCCAAGAACATTAACCAGTGCGGTAAGCTGTCGGTGCGGTGGGAAGGTGGATGAACGTCCCCAAGCGGGCAAACTTGTTCTCCATCCAAGAACACTAACTAGTGCGGTAAAGCTGCCGGTGCGGTGGGAAGGAGGACGAACGTCCCCAAGAGGACAAACATGTTCTCCATCCAAGAACACTAACAAGTGCAGTAAGCTGCCGGTGCGGTGGGAAGGTGAATGAACGTCACCAAGACGGCAAACTTGTTCTCCATCCAAGAACACTAACCAGTGCGGTAAAGCTGTCGATGCGGTGGGAAGGTGGACGAACTTTCCCAAGAGGACAAACTTGTTCTCCATCCAAGAAGATTAACCAGTACGGTAAAGCTGACAGTGTGGTGGGAAGGTGGACGAACGTCCCCAAGAGGAAAAACTTGTTCTCCGTCCAAGAACACTAAGCAGTGCAGTAAGCTGTCGGTGCGGTGGGAAGGTGGACAAACGTCCCCAAGAGGATAGACCTATTTCTCCACCAAAGAGGATAGTCGGCCGGACGCGAAGATCTAGTGAACAAGGCAAGATGCCCGGAGCCTCGGAATACGGAAAACAACCATCACGTCAGGGGATCGGCTAAATGCGGTACGTCGGATTCAATTCTACTTCCTTATGTTCCGCGCACGCTCGGAACATCAGAAGTGGGGGACTTGTGTTGGGTTAATGGCCCAATGGGGATTAGCCCATAAAACCCTCAAGAGCCACCCTACGGACGTCCCCAAAAGGCATGAGACAACGAGTTACCTTTTCACGGATTCTGGAAAGATTTGTCCCCAACAGGGCCAGGGGACGTACGTATCCTAGCGTCGGCAGGTCCCTTGGCCAGGATTCTGGAAAGATTTGTCCCCAATAGGGCAGCACAAGATGCTCGTCTGGCGGGGCTTGGATCCCGGCAGGAAGAGGAGGCAAGCTCATGGGACGAACGTCTCCTCCCCTTGGCTGGATGCCAAGATCCCAGCAGGAGGAGGAGGCAAACTCATGAGACAAATGTCCCCTCCCCTTAGCTGGATGTCAAGATCCCAGCAGTAAGAGGACGCAATCTCATGGGATGAACATTCTCTCCCCTTGGCGTGAAGCGCATTTAATGCAGAAGATTTGGCGGTTGGGGTCAAGCGATCCACAACCCGCCACGTCAATGCATCCAACTACCCATTGACAGTATAAAAAGAAGCATTTATTTCATTGTAAAGGGTTCGCAATTTAGCACTTTAGCACTATAGCAATTGTTTCAGCTTGTAACATAACATTGTATGAATGGCCTCTCGGCTCTGTAATCGTTTCAGTGAATAAATACTTTTATGTGGGCACTTTCCTTGCTTGTTCTTCATTTAACTTGTTCACTCTTCCACTCCGACAGCACGACGGTGAAGGAATAAACTTCAACAATAACAATAATAACAATAATAACAATAATGACAATAAGGGAGAACTATCAAATAAACCCTCGAACTTACATAAAAAGTACAAATCAACCCTTTTATAGAAGGCTCTGTCCGGCCGTCGCCATTTGGGGCGGTTTCTGGTGGAATTTTTTGATGAAATTTCTTGAGCATCTTTTTCATTAAGTCTAGTTTACCCATACCAAATTTCAGCTAAACATTCAACCGAGAAGGTAGTCAAATGATTTTCTGAAATATACTGCGTTGTCTAATTACGCATTTATCTTCAAAAATTTATGTTACTGCCTTCCCGGTTGAATTTTTAGCTGACATTTGGTATGAGTAAACTAGAATTAATGAATAAGATGATCAAAAAATTTCATCAAAAAATTCTACCGGGAATCGCCCCAAATGATGACGGTCGAACAAAGCCTCCTATAAAAGGGCTTATTTGCACTTTTTGTGTAAGTTTGAGAGCTTATTTGATTGTTCTCCCTAACAATAATAACAATAATAAAAATAATAACGATAATAACAATAATAACAGTAATAACAATATTAATAACAATAATAATAAAAAAAGAAAAATAACAATAACAACAACAACAACAACAACAACAATAATAATAATAATAATAATAATAATAATTATTATTATTATAGTAATAGTTACAATAACAATAATAATAACAATAACAATAGTAATAGTAATAGTAATAGTAATAGTAATAGTAATAGTAATAGTAATAGTAATAGTAATAGTAATAGTAATAGTAATAGTAATAATAATAATAAAAACAACAACAACAGGAATAATAAGGATAAATATAATAATAATTACTTATTATTATTATTATTATTATTATTATTGTTGTTGTTGTTGTTGTTGTTGTTGTTGTTATTGTTATTATTATTATTATAAAATTGATAAATCATGTCTGAACTTTTCTGATATGATATGATTTGATTTGAATGTTTCTAATTTGATCTGAATGTTTCTAATCTAATTCACTATTTGTGATTAAGGGTATGTTTGGCACAACTAGCTGAAAAGATACTTTTGTGAGTTTTTTAATAACTGTTAGCTTTTAGTTACTCAAAAGATCTTAAATAGAAAATGTGGTAGCTGTTTGGTAAAAAGCTGACTGTTTGATTTAGTTCGGTTTGTTATACAAGTTGTTAGGACTAAATAGGCTATGTTTGGCAGACATAAGTCTCTACCTTCTAGCTTTTGTACTATTCAAAAAGTCTCTAAAAGCTTCTAGTTATATGTTTGGAATGACAATTTTTAAGAGCTTTTCAAAAATTAAAAGATCTTTTTTGAGATGCTACAGGGAGTAGCATCTGAAAAAAGCCTGTGACGTTTAGTACTTCCTCAGTCCCAAATTGTAAGATACATTCACTATTCACTTGGTTAACATAAATCACTCTTAATCTTTTACTTTATATATCAAAGGTTTATGATATTTGAATGACTTTTTGCAGATTTTGTAGCGGTTTTAATGTAGTTTCTGAATATGTAGATTTTATTTTCTAAAACTAATTTGAGTGTTGACAGGGATGAATTTGCTTTATTATCGGTCAAACATCGTAAACCGTAAAATATCATACAAATTGGGACGGAAGGGGTATTAATTAGTCCTAACAGCTTGTATACCGAAGCGAACTAAATCAAATAGTCAATTTTTTACCAAACAGCTACCACCTTTTCTTTTTAAGATCTTTTCAGTCACTAAAAGATACTACCTCCGTCCCAAAATGATAGTCTTGTATTTTCTTTTTGGGATGTCCCAAAATGATGGCCCTGTTTCCCTTTTTAGAAAGAAAGATGTGGTTCATATCATTTCACTTTATTATACTCAAATTTCAAACACAACATTTACCTTTTCAACCACTTTATTAAAACTTTTGCCCAAAAGAAATGAGACTATCAAATTGGGACGGAGAGAATAATGGTTATTAAAAAGCTCATAAAAGTTAACTAGCGACTTTAAAAATAGGGAAAACTGTCAAATAGGTCCTTGAACTTTCATAAAAAGGTCAATTAAGTCCTTCTATAGGAGGTTCTGTCCGGCCGTCGCGATTTGGGGCAGTTCTCGGTGGATTTGTTTGATGAAATTTTTTGTGCATCTTATTCACCAAGTCTAGTTTACTAATACCAAATTTTAGCTAAAAATTCAATCGGGAACACATTCAAATTAATTCTTGAAGATAACTGCGCATTTTTGCGTTCTCGAATTAATTTGAATGCGCTCCCGATTAAAGTTTTAGTTGAAATTTGGTATGAGTAAACTAGACTTGATGAATAAGATGCTCAAAAAATTTCATAAAAAATGCCACTGGGAACCACCCCAAATCGCGACGACCGGACAGAGTCTTCTATAGAAAGATTTAATTGACTTTTTTATGAAAGTTGGAGCACCTATTTGACAGTTTTCCCATAAAAATATATAAGCACCGATTTGACCAAGTCAGTTGTGGGCCGTGAACAGACATTAATGGAAAAAGCAACTCCAGACATCTTTTGTTTAGCCATTTGTCAACGGAGAAGGAAAAGTGGCCATTGGTGAAACTTCCCAACCCATTTCCTCGTCCTTTATATATCTGTCCCATTCCACGCCCAAATTACACTCATTGCCTTTTGTGCTTCTTCTTCATTCATTATTTCTGCTCATCTCACATTACATAATAATGGTTTCAAAGATGAGTTTGAAGAGGAAATATCAGGACTGCTGCTGTAGCAGAGGACACGAATCCTCTGTTAATTCTATGGATGAGCTTAATCAAGATCTGCTTGAAACAGTTCTTTCTTGGTTACCCACATCTTCATTCTGCCGCCTCACCTCCGTGAACAAGCGGTGGAAGTCAGTGGCAGAATCTCCTACTTTCCGCCTAGCCTGCTCCGAGGTCCCTTCTCGGGATCCTTGGTTTTACATGGTTGATTCTCAATCTCTCTGTTTTCCCGGCAGCCAGTCGGTGGTGTACGATTCATCGGAGGAGAACTGGAAGTTTCTCGAAGTTCCTTCTTTTCTCCGAAGGGAGGAAGGGGGCGAGGATTCTTGCTCCGATTTCGCGCCGGTCGCTTCCTCCGGTGGACTTCTCTGCTTCCATAGCAAATCGGATGGTTTCGTGGTTTCGAATCCGGTCACCGGGCTGTATCGCAGGATAGCCTCTCCAGATTCCGCTACCGAGCAATTCCCTCTCCAGGCCATCGCAATGGCTTCTGCTCGGAATTCGTACAAACTGGTTTTAGTCTCCGGTGATATGCCGGACCTCTGTTTTCAAATTTACGATTCCGGTAGAAATGAATGGGAAGATAAAACATTTCTCAGACGGAAAGGCGGCGATGATGCCCGGAATTCTAACTACGTTGATGATCCTGAGGAATACCCATTGTATTTCTTGAGCAAATACGGCGACTTAGTGATATCAGAGCTTCAGAGGAGCCCCTGCAAGCAGTACTCGTCGGTGATGTCTTCAAAATCCGGCACAGAAACCGTCTACTTCCTCAGCCCCTCTGGGACGGTGGTGGCTTGCAACCTCACCGGAAAGTGGTTCATCGAGTACCCGAGGCTTCTGCCTCTCCACCACGACTACTCAATCGACCTAGTGGAGTGCGCCGGAGATGTGTTCGCCGTCGTGCTTTCGGAGTATCTGGAGAGTGCAAGCCTCAGAGTGTGGAGATTCAACCATGAGAATTCGTCGGAGTGGGAGCAGGTTTCGGCGATGCCGCCGGCGATATCGCATGAGTTTTACGGGAAGACGGTTGACATCAATTGCACTGGCGCCGGTCGCCGAATTTTTGTCTGCGCTTCGTGTCCGGAGTTTTGCAGATACTTTATCTGCAATTTGGAAGGAAATGAATGGGTTGAAATGCAAAACGAAGGGAATGAATTTAGCTGTGCGTTTTCATTTGAACCCAGAATTGAAGCTTTAACTTGAAGAAACCCGGAAGGATCACAACAAGGAAAATCAAATAATCGCATTTGATTTGAAAGGATCATCCTTTCAATCATAGCAAGATCAGCCTCTTCTGTTTCTTTTTAAATATTTTTTGTGCCCGGTTTCAATTTGTTTTATACGTAGTAGACTAGTAGTAGTACATTAATGCAACTAACTTCAGTTTCTTTTTCCAGAATTCAGGGTTTTATTTTCTTTTTACTTGTAGAATAACAAACAAGATTTGATTGATGTAGAAATTGATGTGTGGGGCGATTTGTTTTTTAAGACATTTTAAGCAAGTGATCGATGATGTCCATTATGCGGTAGAGGTTGTAGAGCCAAATTAGCTATAAATAACAACTTTCATTATGAGGTGACAAGAAAATGATGTTTACAATATGGCCTTGTGTCAAAAAGGAATCTTTAATTGCACTTCTGGTAAAGTTTTTCATTACATTCCCCTCGATATTCTTGAAATGGTACTCCTATGTCTTAAGCCTTCTTTGTATAAAAACAAACAAAAATGATGGTTTATAACTATCTTAATATAATAAGAGAAAGTTGTCCAAGACCAAAACTCACGTTTTCTTCCCTAAATAGGACCAACCTTACCCTTTTTACCCCTAATTCTATTTAATTAATTAATGAAAATATTACCCGAAATAAGACTAAAACAGTTTGAAATTTCCAAAATAGTACTTTAATTAATTGATCTAAATAATTGCCCCCTAGCTTCCTAGCACAACCAAGGTAGACCGTCGGTAGCGGGGCAATCCATCGGTGGCGGGGCAATCTGTCGGTGGTGGGGCAATCCGTGACGGCGTCAACGGTCGGCGGCAAATTCTGGCAGCGGCGGCGAACTCTGGAAATTAATTGATCCAATTAATTGCCCCTTAGTTCTCTTGCACAACCAAGGCAGTCTGTTGGTAGCGGGGGCAGTCCGTTGGTAGCGGGGGCAGTCTGGTGGATTCCGGCAGCGGCGGCGAACTCCGGCGGCAAAAACCTAGCAGGCTGCCAAGAAAAAAATTGGATTTTTCTGGCATTGCTCTGGAGGTGGCAGTCCGACAGTCCTGGGGCAATAGTGGTAAAGGCTGTGAGGGGTATTTTGGTCCAATCATAAATAAAAACTTCTATTTAAGAATGTTTAAATTAGGTGCTCTTATTTTGGAGGAAAAGCCATGTTTTGCTCCCGTTAAGGTAAATATATCTCATATAATAACTTCCACATATAAATGTGTTTAGCATTAATTGAGTACAATTTTGAAATGAACGTTAAAATGCTTAGGTGAAAAATGGTGGGGTCTAACTCACACCTCATCCACATTGTTCGACAATACGTTTGAGTTGTCGTCTCAATCATTAACTTCTCTGGGCATCTCGGACCTTCAAATCGGCCAAGACCCGTTGATTTTCAACAACTTACTAATCCATTGCGGATCATACCGCAGATACAAGACACCTCTTCTTGTCTCCCTCTAATTTCAACTCTGAGAAATAGATCACACAACTTCTTCACCGACCTTGGCCATCGGTAACGCCTCTATCGACTATTGATGCCTTCTTTGCCGGAACTGCCCCCTTTATAAAGGATAATCTAGAACCTATCCACCACACCCTCAAGAAAGGTTATTGTTCCGATTCTCGCGTTCATGACTATGATCATGTCGTGGTGATGCTGAGATGACAGAGAAACAGAGTGAAAACTCAGGATTACGGGAAGAATCAACGATTTGGTGCTTGTTATGCCAATACCTTCCAAAGAAAAATCGAGAAATCGAATGATATAGCTTCAATTTTACCATATTGGTATTTGATGGATAGTATACCCGGGGGTAGCTTATCCGAGGGGTTATTACGGAGAATAACTAGAGAGAAGTCAGAGCAAGTGAGTAGAGAGAGAGAGTATATTAGAAATGTATTCAGCGTATTTGCTTCTGGGTTACAAATGGGGAAATGAAGTGCTATTTATAGTAGCAATAAATGCCAGATAGGGACACGTGTCAAGCATCCATTGGCCGAGGGGTCACCTCAACTGGTTGGCGCTGGCAATCGCATGTGGCCGCATTTAATGCGGCTGTTGGATGGGAGGTCGTACTTGGTACGGTGATTCATGCGCATGTGGAGCGGATATTATGTCGGAAAAGGTGCCCTCGGCTGCAGGTGATCAGCCGAGGGCTCTGAGTACCTGGGACCCCCATAGTGTCGAGGGCTATAGGTGCCGAGGGCTACTGATTTTCGCCGTTTTCTCCCAGTAACTTTGTTTTCTTGATTTGGCCATCCTGTGAGAATTTGGAGCCCTCGGCCAAGGGGCCGAAGGCACCCCAGTGTGCACTGTGGGCCGCTTGGTACTCTGGGCGCTGTGATTTGGGCCTGTTGTGCTTCTTGGGCCTATTGGGCCTTTATTGGAGTAGTAGGAGTCTGTGGACCGGGGGTTCTCGGGCCATATACTCCATCAGGAGTCCCTCACTCCTTTTGCCGAAAGGTACTTGAGGGAAAAGGAGTAATTGTGTTTGTCATCTGCCGTTGTTCCGTTGTAGTTTGTAGAGTTGTGAGTAGTTTGTTGTTTGTTTATTCTGCCGAGGGCAGTCCCTCAGTTACCCGCATGTCGGGACTTGAGGGGCCATGTTTGCTATTTGCGGGAGTTTTTAGCATTTTGCAATTTTTTGTGATTTTTCCCGAGGGGGTTCTCCAGTCCCCCACTCCTTGAGGCACTTGCAAAGTGGTGAAAAGGAGTAGAGTAATCATGTTGTTGTATTGGGCCGAAGGCTGACGCTTTTCGTTTCATTTTGGGGGGATGCCTTGTTAAAAACCTCATTAGGAAAAACCCTGTGGGAAAAAATCCTAATGAGGGAAAAAGAGTGCACCGAATTCCCCCAACGATGAATCGAAAATGTGAAGCCCCTGGTTTGAAATGGAGTACAATGCTGATGCCGAAGGCTATCCTTGTTCTGAGGGCGCGTGTGTTGATTAGCCGGAGGCTTGCTCTTGATATCCTTGGAAGTGCCGAAGGGGAGTCCCTCAATATGGGGATCGAGGGCGTGATGAATGTGAGTAGTAGTTGAAGTGTTACCGGGGGGTCCCCTGTTTGTTGATCAGTTGGTGAGGAGGGTATCCGAGGGCTCCCGTTACCTGTGTGTCGTAGGCTATTCGTCAATGAGGTGTACTCCCCGGGGGCTACCTAGTCCTCAAAGTGTTAAGGGGCGAATCCCCGAGGGGTCTGCCAGTTGCGAACCCGGGAGCTTCTCTTATTAAAGTTGGGTGAAGGGGAAAACCAGACTCCACCTGATGGCGGAGTGTTTACCCAGGGGCGTACCCTCAGGTTCCCAGAATATAGCCATTGTAATATGACCGTTGGAGGGGGGGCACACGTGGCGTGCGACGGTTGGCTGCCCGCGGGCGGCGTTACCGGTTGGGCGAAACCACGACTCGTAATGATGATTTTGTGACCAGAGGCCCGGTTTTTGGGCCCAAGCCCGGATCTGGGCGCCTATAAATACCCCATGGCCAGGCATCATTTCTCTTGTGCGATCATATTGTTAGTGAAGCTCTGCCAAAATTTCTAGAGAGAGAAACTCCAGCTTTCGGTAGAATCCCCAGCTTTCAAGGTCAGTCCTTCTTCTGTTCTCCGTTTACTTGGTGAGTTTTGCTCCTGTGGCCTTAGACTTAAGTGTCTAGAGTTTCTTAGGGTGCCTTCGGACTTTAGAACTTCCCTATTCATTAGCCTATAAAAAATGTCGTCCTCGGTTGAAGAGGAAGTCTTCTCCGACGCGGAGTCCCTGAGTGAGCAGCCTTCGGCCGGTGGTGACGTCGCCCTCGCCATTGAGATGTAGAAAGAGTTAGTGGCTGAAGTTGAAGCCGAGGGCTTTGAGCAAGAGGCGGAGGATGAAGAGCTCGCCCTCGTCGTACAAGTTGCAGAGGAGGAGAAAGAGAAGGAGAGGATGAGGGTGACAGTGGTTGTCCTCCCCCCCCTCCCCCCCGCGGTTCTGGTGAAGCGAGCAGCTCGAGGCCACTGAACCCGACGCCCTTGAGAGTAGCCCCCGGATCGAAGGAGAAGAAGGCGAAAGCTGCTACTAAGAAGAAGGTCACGGCCGCCGACCAAGGGAAGCCCGTTGATATGCCCGAGGGGTATTCTTGGCTGAACATCGAGGCCCTCGAGATAAAGTCGAAGGCGGACAAGGCAGATTTCTACGTCACGCAGCTGCACGTAGGGCCTTCGGCCGTGGTGGTCGAGCCGGGAGTTGATGATGTGCTGTCCCGGGCGCCCGAGGGGTGCATTGCAGTACACATACTTTCGGTCTCCATGGGCCTTAGGTTCCCTCTGCACCCCTTCCTCCGGGAGTACCTCAGGTTTGTTGGTTTGGTCCCCTGCCAGCTGACACCTAACAACCACTCTTACATTGTCGGGATCCTTCAGCTCTGTAAATCCCGGGGGGTGACGCCAAGCTTGAATCTGTTTTTCCAAAGCTTCAACTTGTGCCGGGGGGCCACGCGAATGTCGAGGGCTTCGCGAACCTACAGCAGATAGCCAGGTGGAAGTTGTTCACCGAAGCGCCTTCGTCAAACAAGGGCTGGAAGGAGCGGTGGTGTTACGTCAGGATAGATGAGAGCCCTTTCCCGAGGGAACTACGGGACTGATTCCGACGGCACCCGAAGGTCGGAGACGCTGTTCTCGAGAAAAATGGTTTGATCATAGCCAAGATCCCGGAGGGTCGTACGAAGAACGTATCCATCAAAGACTACACCCTCGAGGAGGATCTATATACCCTCGGCTTCCGGCGCTATCGTTTCATCGGGGAAACGGACGAGAAGTATCCCCTTTTTGATGAAGCCTTCGGGGGAGCCGGAGGTAGTCACCGAGGGCCCTTAGTCTTGTACTTAGTATTTTTTTTTGTACCTTGATGTTATTGCTCCATGGTTGTTGACCCGTAAGCCTAACCCTTCACTATTTTGCAGGTATTCCCGTTTCGAAGATGAATGTGAAAGGCCTTGCTCGATTGAAGAACAAGTCGGCCAAGGATCCGAAGGGGTCGGATGCGGGCGGCCAGAAGCCCGTTGGTGCGTTTTTCAAGAAGCCCGAGGGTGATGTTGCGGCCGCGAAGAGGAAAACGACGACCAAGGAATCCTCCCGGCTACCAAGAGATCGAAGAAGGGGGATGCCACGAAGAAGGACCCCCTGGTAGTGATCGTGGATGAGAATTCCACCTTCGGGCTGGTCGTGGATGTGCTGACGGCTGGAAAGCCGGCGGGGACGGAGGAGATGCCCCCTGAGGTCCTGCAGGTTTCCCTCCCGAGGGGAACAGCCGTGACCAACTGCACGGTCGACCCAAGGGTGCTCCTGAGGGGCATGACCCCTGAAACAGATGGGGC